TGCTGCTGCTGCGTCTCTGTTCCATCAAGCTCTTTTGCTTTCTCAGTTTGAAGTTCCTCGGTGTTGTTGTTGGTGTTCTCATCAGTGGTCACCACCTCGGGGAGGATTGCAAAGTCTGCTGAAGTGGAGGGGAACACATTTGGCTCAAGGGAAGATGAAGCAGATGAAGCAGCAGTTGTGGCGGCGACGGCGACATTTTCGGTCTCTGAAGTCGAACCATTATCAGCAGAAGAATCCTCCTCCTCCTCCAAAGTACCTCCATTTGACATATCACCGTTATTTTGTGAGGCACTTTCCAAGTTCTCCGATTCCTCTTTCCCGCCAGTATCATTACCATTGCCATTATCATCACCTGTTGTGGTCATTACCATCTCTGCATCATCTGATGATGGTAATGGAGTGTTATCAGCTTCAGAATTATCTGCCTCTGCTGGCATCTGATCAGTTTCAGAATCTGCTTTTGATATCTGATCAGCACCACCTTTCACTTGTTCTCCTTTTTTCGCCTCTTCCTCCTCCTCTTTAGAAGCTGCAACCACTTGTTCAGCCGCCACTTGAATCTCTTCAGTAGTATTTAGAGAAGGCAGAGAAGCTGGCTGAGTTGACACTTCACCGTTATCATCAGCAGCAGCCTTGTCATCAGCGGAGTTTGCATCTCTGGCTTCGGCACTGTTTTCTGTCTCATTCATCACCACCTCTTCTTCTTCTTTTTCCTCCTCTTCTGCTTCTGAGGCTGATAAAGTTGAGTTTGAAGCAGCAGCAACTTCCGGTGCGGCTGCTGCTGCTGCTGCTGCTTCATTCGGTCCATCCGCTAGTCCATCACCTCCAAATATAGCTCCAATGATTATTCCCTCATCCATTCGGTCATTTGATCCATTTTCTCCTGCTGCTGCTGGCTGTTGTTGCTGTTGGCTGTTTTGACTGGCTGTTTCGAGGTGATCCGCCCACAGGTGATCCAGCATCTCCTTGGAGGTGCCGCTCTGGGTGCAGCCCGGAAAGCGACATCGCTCAATGGCTCGTTCATTGGCATTGGACTGCTGCTGCTGCTGCTGCTGCTGCTGCTGCAGTTGCAGTTGCTGCTTCAATAGCTGAGCATTTTGGCAGATCTGCTGTGCAGTCTGCAGCCACGGCGCATCCGCTGCTGGCTCCCCTGCTGGTGCTGGAACCGGAACTGGAACCGGAAACGGAAGATTCACAGGAGGAGGAGGAGGAGGCATAACCACAGCTTCTTCCGCTTCCGCTTCCGGCTGACCTTCTTCGCCTTCGCCTTCGCCTTCGTCTTCGCCTTCGTTTGCCCATTCAGTGCCCTCAGCTGTGCACTTCTTCTTCTTCTTCGTCTTCAGGTGCCCGATGAGGCGCTGCTTGGAGGAAAACCCCTTTCCGCACCGGTGACAGGGCCAGTGCTCCCGTTCGCAATGGACAAAGGTGCGCAGGCCATCTTGGTGCTCCTTTCCGCGGGGAAGCTGGCTCAGGGTAAAGGTCCCCTTGCATTTGTAGCACCAGACGGTGGCGTCCTCGCTGACGCGCTGTGGCTCGTTTTCGGCGGTGGAGGCTGCAAAAAACAAAATCGAAACCGAAACAGAAGTGAAATCATTTGAATTAAACAGACCTCGGCTTACCTTCAGCTCTTGCTGCTGCCCGGCTGCTGCGAGTGTTTCGGGTATTTGAAGCAGAAGGACCTGGAGTCCGATTTTTGTCAGCAGAGTCAGCGTCAGCGTCTTCGTTGTGGTTGTGGTTGTGGTTGTGGTTGTGGTTGTTGTTCTCGTCTTCTGTGGAGTGGTTGTAGACGGGTGGAGTTTTGGCGCCTCTGAAGCGAGTNCTGCGAGTGTTTCGGGTATTTGAAGTGGAAGAAGAGCCTGGAGGAGTCCGATTGTTGTCAGCAGAGTCAGAGTCAGCGTCGTTGTTGTTGTTGTGGTTGTTGTTNGTTTTCGGCGGTGGAGGCTGCAAAAAACAAAATCGAAACCGAAACAGAAGTGAAATCATTTGAATTAAACAGACCTCGGCTTACCTTCAGCTCTTGCTGCTGCCCGGCTGCTGCGAGTGTTTCGGGTATTTGAAGCAGAAGGACCTGGAGTCCGATTTTTGTCAGCAGAGTCAGCGTCAGCGTCTTCGTTGTGGTTGTGGTTGTGGTTGTGGTTGTGGTTGTTGTTCTCGTCTTCTGTGGAGTGGTTGTAGACGGGTGGAGTTTTGGCGCCTCTGAAGCGAGTGGTCATTCGATCACCACCACTGCCACCACTGCCACCACCACCACCACCATCAGTTGATGAAGTCGACTGTTTCTGTTGTTCAGCGGAAGCGGAAGTGGAAACCAAAGAAGCAGAAGTCGAGGGTTGAGGTTCTGAAGTGGTGGAAGGGTGGCCACTCTGAGAGCTTGAGGTACTCTGAGAGCTACTGGCACCGGCAGCACTTTTATTCATCACTTTAGCATTGCGCGGTCGCTTTGGCTTCTTTGGAGACATCTTACTGTTGTTTGGGGGTCTTTTTNTACTGGCACCGGCAGCACTTTTATTCATCACTTTAGCATTGCGCGGTCGCTTTGGCTTCTTTGGAGACATCTTACTGTTGTTTGGGGGTCTTTTTGAGAGAGAGAGAGAGAGAGAGAGAGAGAGAGAGAGAAAGATGTCGGCTTTGTAGTTTGCTGAGAAGCTAAGAGGACTACTGTTTGTTGTTGTACTCTGTTGTTCAGACTAACAAAAGAAGACGCCTGAAGACTGGGGAAAACAACAGCATCAGCAACAGTTTAGACTCAAAGGAGAACAGGAAGAAGAAAGAAGAGTACTTACATTAGAGAAGGAAGCAAATAAAACGATTGGTAGTGCTGCGACTGGCCGTAAAGTTGAAAAAGGCGGCAAAGAAGTCGAGAAAGATGATTAGTACAGCGTATGAGAGACAGTGGACAGAGAATTGGGCATCGAAGTGTGGACACAGT